TACTTACACGTTCAAATAAGGATAGTGTCGCCTTTAGGGCTCCCTCAGGACGACCAAAAGGGAAGCAGTACCTAAAGTGAACAATCTGGTGAGCCAACAAGTTCCACAGTCTGTCTTTGATGTCTTCAAACTTGCTCTTTTCTTCAGTGGTAATTGTGCCAATACCATCAGGTCTAAGAATGAAACATTTGTTCAATTTAGAAATCTAATTTTAGTGAAAACAGGATACTATTAATAAAATGTCTTGTACCTATTCCCATGGACATGTGATGCGCAAAATGCAAAACTGTAATGCAGTAGGGTGGGGTCAATCATAATACCAGACTCTGCTCTATCCAGCAAATCACTAAGGTAACACAGATGACGATGACATCCACGCACTCCATATCTTGCACAGTACTCCTCAAGAACAAAGACTTGCCCAGGAGAAAACCATCCCTAATGGGGGAGGAGTAAGTCAGGATTATTGATAAATTTTGTATTGAAATATGATTGGTGAACAAAGAACTAAGTAGCTCATTAACTGTCTGTCTGTCTTCCTGACTGGATGACTTAAAGATGAAAGACACGGTGCATTAATATAATTCAGGATACTTCAGGCTATGATTGATTACCTGACTTATTGCATCACTGATTCACGRCTTTCAAACATGGTGCGATATGTCACAGTCSTCAACCAGGGCACTGGGGACGAAGCACTAAAACAAGATCTCAAAGTCCAGCCTCCGTTTGAGGGTGTCTTGMAAGAGGGTTTTGTAATAATTAATAACATACCAATAGATCTTTCAAACTTTTGGACACTACCTACATGCGATATTTGTAGTGATTTCTAGMTGGAAGGCCTTTGAGGTCTTGTTTCCATGATYKTTCACTAGTCCCCMAAAATTGGCGATCATGAACTTTCACCATTTTKGAAATTCGTGTATAGACTGACTGAAAGAGTTGCTGTCAAKGTCTRACAGAYTTACTGGTTGTCTAACTGTCTTACTACTGTCTCAAYGACTGACATCACATACCAAACAAGAATAAGAGTCATTCAAACGATGTCCAAGAGTCTTCCTTTGTAAAACTTCAAACAAGTAATGATGGTCAAACGAATTTGGTGTTGCTTGAATTAAAGCATCTAGCCCAAGTTTCTTTGCATGATCTGCAGCTATCGACAAAATAAAGACAAAAAACTAAAAATCTTTGTTCAAAGAACATTATACCCAACCATGTATTTGTCCTATAAGAGTGGTACCTCCTTGTGCCCTTCCAAGTGTGTTGGTCTTGCTTTCTTTAGCTGTTGCAACCATTGATAGTTTAGGTGCTATGGGTTTATGTGACTGCCCTGTTGCCATGTATAGTTTATTAACCCACATTGTTCTTTCAAGCTCTTCTTCTGTACCAAACAATATTTGATCTCCTTCTTTTACAGCCTCAAAGAAGAATCTTGCCTCATTATGCTCTTCACCTGAATTATAAACAAAAACAATCAAACAATCAATCAATCAACAATCAATCCATCCATTAAATCAATTCATTAAGCAAGCAAGCAAGCAAGCAAGCAATCAAAAATCAATCAGTCAATTCATCAACCAATCAATCAACCAACCAACCAATCAATCAATCAATCATCAATCAATCAATCGATCAATCAATCAATCAATCAATCAATCTATCTATCAATCAATCAATCAATCAATTCATCAATCAATCAATTAATCAACAATCAATCAATCAATTGACCAATTGTCCATGTATTGATCTGTTATGCTCTATTACCGTTAATGATGATGGTGATGATAAAGTATGAATACTAGAGTTTGTCATCATTATCCTGGTTGGCATAACTTCATATGATACTGACGATCTAAACATCATTATTGTTTATCATGGTAGTCACCTGCAGGTTTATCGCAATAGTCAACAGTATAGCCATCAACTTGCAGCATGTCTGTTGGCTCTGACTTCTTCTCTACATAGCTACACAATGCAAAGGTGCAATGACTCACCTAAAATATGCAATAAAGATAATGAGACAATGCTGAAACAGTCAAAATATAACCTTAATTACTTGAAACCAACCTGAACAAGAATAAGAAACCTTTTCTTCCACTTTTTCCACACAGACTTTCCATGTGCATATAGAAAACTACAAAAGAAAAACAAAAATATTCTACTTCACAACATTATTTTTAATTCTACCAATTCACCTTTAATCACTATTATCACAATAACATCAACTTCCTCAGATCAAATCTTTACAAGTACTAACCCTGCTTTCTTTAAGTTAAGTGGTTTGTCCATTTTAACGGCAAGTCGTAATTCTAGCTTTGGCCCTGTCCAGCCCTTGTGTGGTGTTAATGTATGCCATTCAAATGCATCTGATCCTCCTGGGCTTGGCTTAATAGTAAGCTACAAAGACAGCACAAGAATTGTCAAGACATTCATGGAAACAGCTTTAGCAGGCTTTTCTACAGTATAATACTACTAATATTATAACACAACAATCAGCATACTCTGCCAAGTTCTTTGTCATCTAGAGCCAGTACACCAGATCTTTCTTCGTATAATTTAATCTTGATGATAGGTCTGGGATGGCAAGTAGTGAAATCACCTTGAGTGTCCCATCTAGATAAGCAATAAGTCAATATACATTATTCTTGATCCCAGATTTGTATTCATAGGGATGAGTAGAGAGAGTTTAACTGGTGATGTTTAATCCACTGAAAATTGCATTTTGTTCAGTCAGGTCTTTTGGTACATGGTCAAAAGTTTAATTTGATTTGAGAAATTTTGAGGATTTGACTTCAAGATGAAGGGAATTGAATTTATGACAAAACCAGAATTTTTTTAGAAAACTAAGAAAGAATAATAACTCACAACTTACACAGGTTTCACAGCTTCAGCTTCTCCAGTTTGCAATTTCTCTCCACCTTCAACCTGTTTGACAGTAGGGAATAAGATGGAAATTAAATGGGAACAGGATGGAAATATATTTTGAAATTAAAAAGAGTGAGAATAGAATAGGAATAAAATGGAAACAGTAGTGGAATGAAATGGAAAAAGATTGGGAATAGAATGGGATGTACATGGAAAGAGAATGGGAATAGAATGGGAGTTGGTTTTATAACTGAAAACTATTACCTCCATAGTGCAGTAGACTATTCTTTTTGCTTGTAGTGACTTAAGACCTCTTGCTTCAGCTACAACAACCTGAATATTGGATAAAAAAACACTGCATTATTGTCCTTTGAACTAGAGGAACTGATACTGTGTTTTAATGAACTGACTATAAAAATACCATGTAAACATACTCTGAAGTTCCGAATAATCGTATATATACGCTTATTTATTTTKGCAAAATATTCCACTCTATACGGCCTTATTTGGGACTGTACGATTATTAATTTTCACAATTTTTTTCTCTGTGCCTACCTTAATTAGTTATTAACAATATCATGAGAAAAAAAATTGAAAAAAGTTGCCAAAAAGACAGACTTTTTGTCTCTAAAACGAAAACAAAACCGCGAACGAACAGCAAACTAAGAGCACAAATCATCTGGTCAGCGGATTTGATCACAGGGGAAACTGGGGAGAAGTCAGCGGTTTTGCCAAAAAAATGCGGGAAAACTGCCAGTACTGCCGTTTTTTCCACCCTATACTATTATTATGCTCTATATGATTATTCGGAACTTCAGAGTAGTGTCATTTGTAAATACCTCAATAGTAAAGGACAGAACGACATCTGATATGGCCAAAGATGGATGAGCGTCATCAGGAACATCCATCACAAAAGTGTTTTGTGCTCTGTATCAAAAATCATGTTTTACATAAGAAAATGGAAATATCAATATATAATACGTAATGATTTCCTTCATCATTTGACATGATATTCTAAGTTCTTTTCAAAGATGAGTCTGAGATTTTGAGGGCCAGAACCAGCTAAATGCTACCAGTATCTACAAGTATTTTCATGTCACACCAAAGCAGCTTTATCTAGGAGACAAAACAAAAGATTTTTGTTTTCTCTTGTGAACTAGAATCCATGGTTTTGTCCTCTAGATAGATCAGCATGAATAAACTACATATCTATCTTACTTTTTGTACTTATACAGGGAATACTTTTCTGAAGCTCCTGATCTAGAGACGGGAAGACTTTCCAGTGCTTGCATGAGGGTGTTGATGTCTTTTTGTTGTTCTTCAACAAACAGTTTTTCCATGTCTTTGTGTAGAAAAGGTGGTAGTCGCTGGAAATACAGCATATAGAAATGATGATATGGTAGAATGAAAAGTTTTGGAGATGGGAGGGAGGGGAGGGTGCATGGAAAGCTCAATGGTCTAAATTACTTAATAATACATTTCTCGTGTAAATTAAATACAATTTGGTATACAGTACCTTTCGCAACTCTCCAATACTTCGCATTTTATTCTGAAGTTCCCTCCTAATACAAGCAGCTTGTTCATCGGCATTATCAAGCTAAAAAGATAATGATGAAACAATCATTATATTGATAATGACAATAATAAATCATGAATTGAAATCATATATTAATTTACAGCAATATGCAGAAATTATGATCATTTTGACTCATATTTCAAATATATTATATAAAATATATCAGAATTTATGAGATATCATCGTTGATATTTTTTGAAGTTGCATAGCACTAGAACCTTCTGAAAAAACATACTGGCGATGATATACCATAATTTCTGATATATTCTTTATATGCTTCATGGTACATGTGAACTTGTTTTTTAAACATGTTTTGTCTATTGACCTCTTTTCAATCATTTATATACGTTATATATGGGTCAAAGAGATCAGAATTTCTGCATATTGCTGTATAGTATTTCATAATAAGATATATACATGTATATGTACTCAAGTGAGTCCTTGCAGCTAGATGTTACATTCATCAAAGCTTTCACTGTGCAAGTCATTGTGCACTTGGTTAACCATGTATGAACAAAGACGAAAACACCTCATGAATATGAATATTTTTCTTTATGTTCCTATTTTCCTTGAAACTGTTTTCCATAAGTTGGTCCCAGTCATAGTTATTAACTATCCCAGTTCACACTTTATCAAACCTTTAACCTTTTATCATAAAAAAAATCGAGGAGTGGAAACCAAAACATATGGGATCAGTAAGTAGTGTTACTAAAGTTAATTATTTGGTTGATTTATATCTTGCAGAAAATATCAAAATTTGTGAAGACAGAGGACTCTTTTCAGACATTTTAATGTTTTTTTTTTTGTTCTGGTTAGTAGTAATCTTCTCCACATATTTTTAAAGTAGTCTAAATAGAGATTGCAGTATATTAAAGGTGTTTAAAATGTGAAATACAAACAATTAAGTGAATGACATATTTACAGTTTTGAAATAGATCTTTATCATAAACACTGTCATTTACTAATGATACCATCAAAATTACTGAAATAGAAAAAATATTTTGCATAAATCATTGAAAATATTTTTTTCGAAAATTATTCAGCTGAGACGCGATTGCAAATATCAGGTGTTTTTGATTTTACAAATATTAGATAATAATAATATAGAAATATCCTACATGATACACATATAAATAAGAAAAAAATAGAGTATATTTTTGTACCTGACAAGCATTGTAAAGGATTTGGTGCTCAAACTTCTTGATATCCAGAATTGTTTGAAACATTTCATACAACTGCTCTTTCGAAAGCATTAGTTCAGAAGCGGCCGACGCTGCTATTCGTGATGATCCTCGTTTATAATCATCTTCTCCTCGATAAATAGAATCAAACTTAGCCATCCAAGCACTAAGAACTGTTTCTTTACTCAGGCCATGTATTTCTGGCAAGAAACGAACCCGTTTCTCGATAATACCCTTAAAAACTTCCCTGAAATCATTCGCTGAGCAGCCCCCGCTTACAACAAGCTTTAAAACTCTTTCACTACAGATGAAGATATCGAAGTACGCTTTAACAGCATTGTAAAATGCCTCATCTGAGTTAATCCGAGTATTACCGTCTAGAAATGCTTCAAATCGGTCTTTGATTGTATGTAATTGTAGTTTGCTAACTTTGGCCTGCCTTCTGGCGAGATCAGTTGGCTGTTTGGCGTTGAATGGATATGAAATACACCTCAAAACAAACACATAAAGCTGTAGTATTTCCTTTCTTTCCTCTCGCTCTTGAAACTCAAGTAATTCAGACTGTAACGACTGCAACGATGGGGTTGGACTTGGAGTTGTATTCAAGTTGTTCAAACCAGAAACCAATGACCCACGAGGGGTAGAACTTGGCGTGCTGAAACTGCTGAATGGCCGCTGTTCTCGCGAATTATTTCTAATAAGTTCACGTGGAAAATCCTCGTCTGATCCTTCTCCACTACTGGATGAATCATGAATCATTTTGAGGTAAATCTAAAGATCGAAAGGCAATGCACAGAGAAGCGAAAGTGGATTGTTCATTTTGTTGTTGTTGTGAACGCTGACCATCAAACAGTGCTGTCACGTGACCACCACGACGAGCGCGCGCGGCAAATTAAATGCACTTTTAAAACGAAGAAAGAAAAAAGGAAAGAAGGAATAAAAAAGAAAAAGAAAGAAACAAATGTAGTTCGAACTTTTTTATTATACAAACACCACCCGAATTCTATAATGTCAAAGAAACACAACTTTGTTACATGACCTGACATCGATAAGGGCCAACATGTTGATAACTTCAACGGCAGTGGTCCAGGGATTTCTAGGATAGGGGCCTCTCCACAAAAATGGTCATAATAAGGGAGCCTATAAAAGGTGATCTCATTCATGAGGTGTTAAAAAGGCCCCTTCATCCGCAAGCTGGATCGGCCACTGAGCCAACGCGCATTTTCATCGTGAAAACCGCAATCGTTTGCCTGCCGGGGTTCATTCATAATGACGTCAGTTTTTCAACAACCAAGAGCTGAGAATTATTATTGACATCAGTGATGATGATATCAGGGGTTCGAATGGGCGTCCCGTTAGGGGTAGCCAGAGTAATATTTGCCATTTGTTGTATGTTCGTTGGGGTGCAACATGGTACAAAAAGAAGGACTATTGCTCCAAATATCATGGAGGCGCCAGCGAGATAAAACACCGACTTATAAGACTTGAAATAATCGTACATCATACCTGTGGAGGAATTTAGATTTTATAAGATCAAACAATACATCTTACAGAGTCCATGAGTTGGAACTTCAATAGATATTGCACTAATATTTGTTCTTTTAGGAAGAAAAACAGCATTCTCTCTCACTTTCAAGCTTCAGCGTAAAATACGCACTTTGGTCATATTCAAACTGATTTCTTTACGCATACATTTCCAAATTATTCTGCTAACGAGCACTTACCAGCTGTCGGCGGGCCCAGAAGGTAGGTAAATGATTGACAGAAGTACAAGATACCCCAAGCACGAATAATGTTGTTAATTTTAACAATTTCTAACGTTACTATCGACATTAAACCAATATATGAACCATCAAGAAGTCCAAGGACAATGACATAAGCTACTAATGCTTCGTAGCTTTTCGCAAAAGGACAAAGTGTCGAGGCGAGACCGATCATAAGCATACATAAGCGATAGATTGGCAAGTTCCTTATACAGCAAACGTCCGAAAGTTTGCCGAAAAGTATACGACCAATTGTCGACGAGATGCCGAGATATGATATGAGCCAGCTTCCTTGAGATCTTGGAATTCCTATTTCTTCTGAAAACTGGATCTAAGAGACAGAAACGAAATGATAAAGAATGGCGAGGTGGAAATACTTTTAGAAGAATGGGTCGGAGAACAGGGTATCAATTCGATGAATGCGTCACAAAAAACCGACACAACGGTCGTTATATTTCACATTCTTTTTGCAACGTCTTCAGACTAGCAAGTCGATACTGATGACATTTAGACTTTCGCAAAATCTGTTTTTCTTTTTCGACCATCGCGCTTCGCGCTCAGTATTCACCCATTCCTGGGAGTAAAAGACAGACGACTTGGGCAAGTCCAATGATGATTTATGTGAAGACCTTCTTCCCTAATGACGTCATATTTATTTTGGCGAAGTGCATCATGGTATTCTTACTCACCAAAAAAAAGTGCGGGATAAAATATCCAAAACCAGCTGAACAAGTTGCTATGACCCAAAGAATAAACGCTTTGTTCTTAAAAATACCACAATCAAATAATCCAAATCTATTGCACGGTACACCTGACATGGAACATGCCCCATAATCCACACTTTGACGTCGACGGACCAAAGACTCCTCATTCTGATCTTTGACTGGTTTGAAAATCAGCCCAATTATTGAAAGCAAAATACCAATCCCTGCCATAAGCTTGAAAATAGATTGCCACTTGTATCGTTCCAACAAGAATTGAAGGAAAGGAGCAAGGACTAGTGTTCCAACACTGCTCCCCGATGCGACAATCCCAGTGGCGAGTGATAAATGTTTATCGAAGTAGTCAACTGTTATCACTTGGGCCATAGTGCCACAAAGACTTGTTCCAATTCCAAACAGCAAACCATAAGTCAAGTACATAATAAGTAAACTTGGAGCGTATGCGGACAGGAATAGACCAAATGTTATGAGGATTCCACCCGCGATCGTTACTGCACGAACGCCATAGCGTTCTGCGAGTCGACTTGTAATTGGACTGAAGACGAACAGAAGATTGACGCTTATTGATCCTACCCACGCTGAAATCAATGAAAAACAAAGAAGAAATAGATCATTAGAACAAATAACAGTCTAACTCGTTAATATTTATCCCATAAAATTATGATTTTGCGCGACATAAAAACTACGCTCACTAGTGCCCTCTCAAGAAAGTGAGTTAAAACTTTCCTTTTTTGATTGCGGTGCGATAAGAACAAAAGTGAGTAACACCTTAAACGCAGCCACACAGTAAACACGCAAAGATTTTAAAGAGTAGCAGTAGGACATTTATCAAAAGATTAAGCTAAAGATTGTATATACACGTAAACCTAAAAGAACGATGAGAAGATTAGAAGTCATTTTTAATCCGTTCTATTTATTTAGGAAATCCTCTCCTAATTGAGGTTTTTGTCTAAGGGAAAGTCATTATCGGTATACTCACAAAGCTGTGAGAATATTCCTTATTCTCAATATCATATCCATTACTGCAGAAACTTATAAAATATACAGCGAAAACAAATACGCAAAAATAAACCATACCATTAGTAAACATATTGTCTCTGACGCAGGAGGTCTTAATTATAAAAGCTATCTGTCATTCTGATTCTGTTATATTGTTTTCGCCTGCAATTTATCGTCTCAAACATTGCTTGTAAATTTAGACGTGAATTTCACAAAATCAAAATGATCGGTCCAGTTGGTACAAGACTAGAATTTCGCGAAAGTTCGCTTCTAAGTGTGTGGGTGTTGAAAGTATTATTTATGAAACTTCTAGACTCAGATGAAATGTGGAAAGTCCGTAGGGCAAATGCGAGCATTAGCATAGAATGAGACATTATTCTACGCTTTTTGGTATGTTTAATCGTCCCACTTTTTGGTATTTACGTCTTTACATAAAAAGGCAAAGACAAAAACGATTGTTTACAACACTTTAAAGCGCAAAATTTTGCTGAGCTTCTCATTTGATTTGAATGCTGACTCCGTTTTGACGACAAGGAAATCAATAATTAACAAGAAAAATCTATATTTTTTAGTTCACCTCCTTTGCGGTATATAAATCGAAGAAACAAAAATAATAACAACGTCAAATATATCTCTGGCTCAAATCCAATATTTACATAAACGTGCAAGATTTTTGCTTATGCGAATATTTTCACTTGGAATATATTGTGTGAAGATTATGACAACTTTCAATGATCCAAAATGATTGATTTATATAACTCTACACAACATGTCGAAGAGTCATTTTTATGAGAATAATGCTTTTGAAAATGAGCTCACTTGAGACCTTAAAATTACTACTTAACATAAAGTAAACAAAGTGCTCAAATTAGTTGCCTTATGTTAATACCTGTTCTTGCCTTGGTTTCTTGGAAGTGATCAAGCAAAGCGTTAAGTAGCACTCCAAAACATGTATGAGTGCCGAATGTAAAAAACATCATTAGAGACGAACCAACGCAGACTACCCAAGCCCAGCCCTTGTCTTTATTATTTGTCTGATCGTCCCTTGTGTCCACACAAATCAATGACATACTACCACCAATAACTGGTACTTGTACCGCCGTGATGTGCTCGAATGAAGATATCGATAGCGAAGTCTGAACGCTCGGCATTGTGAGAGATCCCATGAAAAACACTACGCGAGGAAGTGTCTGCAGTTCGCACAGTCGAATTTTGTTTTTATAACACGAAGACGGACCATTTGGAAGCAAGAGGAAAAACAAGACCTTGAAATGCTAATAAAGTGCACTTATAAACGAGCATACTAATCCTGCTACCTGCAAATGAATCTATTTTGAATAATCAACTTCGTATTTCTACCATTTTCGTTCTACCATTTTCGATAAGATAGTATCAAACTGGTTACGGTTATTCCCAGTATACACATGCAGCCAAGCAAAATTGATTATTGTTTGGTTAGAAATAATTCAATCAGATACATTGAGGGTATTTAACCTACCAATAGGATCCCAACATCGTGTTTATAGCGCTTGCATGAAGCCGAACTCAAATTAATATTTTATAACAACTCGTCCGCCATCTTGAAAATCTCAAACCGAGAGCGACTGGACACGAGTTTGAGCCTAAGAACAAATTGAACAGCGGTATCTCTAGTGCCAGTCTCTCTCTTATCAAAAGTTTTCGAATTACGTAAGTTTTGGAAATTATGCCAAAATATCCAAAATTATTCTCGACTGTGAACTTTGTCATTGTCATTTGTACGTCTAAATTTATCATGGGAAGTGAAGGTATGTCTTAGTGTCGCTCTAATGACTTTAGTACGTCATAAAGTATCTCCTTACTTCCTCCTATTATAGTCTAAAAAATGTACTTTTTTAGTTGATTTTTTAAAGTATTTTTCAATTAGCTTAAATTGTAATAACTCACTTAAGCTAATATGTTCATTTAGATCTCCTGATAGATAAATTGCGTAAGTCTCTTGACAGAAATAACAATGAGACATAATAACTCTCCGTGAATCATGCTCCTTTTGACCTCCGATCAAAACGAGGACAAATAACACTACGTTGTAGATGACATGCCACTATTTCCTTTGCCCAAACAGTAATAATTCATTTATGCCGTGATTACGCAAAGTTGAAAGCTGGTAAATAGTCGCTTTCCACAAATAGTCTTCATAATTAACGATAAAAGAGTCAGCCATTCCATTGTGGTTGTGAAATGACTGAGATACTTGTTTGTAATTGAGAGTATTATCGCACTGAATCCTCTGCAGTTGGGTAGATGACCTATGACGCCATTCGTCTTAGTTTTCTGTCATTGAGTTGGCTTAATATATCGAGAAAGACAACAACTGCTTAAAGTGCAGTTGATTAAAGATCAAAATGTGGAGGATTTTACCAGCAGATTTTCCTAAAAACGGTCCTATTAAACCATCCCAGCTCAAAAGACCTAAACGTTATAAAGGTATTCCAGATGGTGTTGCTACAAACTTGTTCATCGTACTAATGCCTCATGTTATCCAATATAATAAGTAATTGATGCTCAGACTGTGAATATCACGCATCAAGAATTTTTTTTGGACAACAGGGTGAACTTGTAATTCTTGGGTCAAAGAAAATCAAAATTATATTCCCATACAATACATTGTGTGAAGTAATGTTTCTTTATTCCTATCAATTGTGTTTAGCTTCATTAAGATTTCCATCATGAATACCTTTAGTCTCATAATGAGATTTTCACATTTTAATTTTAAAAATGATTGGTATCTTTATCACATAAAAGAAGTCTGTTTATTCATTCCTTTAGTTGCAAAAGAGGAATTTGAAGCCAAGTTTAGTGAGGAAGAATTGAGATCTAGACTGACTCCTGAGCAGTATCATGTGACCCAAGAAAGAGGAACAGAAAGGTATGAAGGATTAAGTAGTTTTATAGTGGTCATTGTATGGTTGTTTGTGCAAAGCAGTAGTTGGAAAGAATATATCACTTAATTATTAAAAGCCCAGTCCCAAATCCCCAGGGCATAACTGATACTTGTCAAATATCCTTGTTTCTTGTTCATAGAGAGGATCTAATGCTTTGTTTGACAGCAGTCTCCCTCATACAAAGACCTTAGCATGGAAAAAATGTCATAATACAATCAGCCTAAAAGACTAAGCCTGTATTTCCAAAGGGCTTACACTTTAGGTCTTTTGGAAATACAGGATTAGGCTCACATTTGGGTAAATTCAAACACTTTGTTTTGCTTTCTTTTGTCTTTGGTAAGGTTCTTTGCACAAGATAGTCAGCTGTCAAATAAAGCAGTAGTCACTGGAAAAATGGCATATAATAAGGTCTTGTTAAGCATCATCCCTATCAAATTTACATCATGGTCCTCCTCTAAGTGGACCTTTTCCTTTCATTCGGCCATTCCATTTAATATGCCCCCCCCCCCCCCCCATTGAGGTATTAGATTAAAAAACCCTTGGATACTTCTCTGGATATACCCCCCTGGACAGTTAGTAAACACTGTTACCCCATGAATATGTAGCTGACTCATGGATATAGTCTCTATGACCTGTTACCCCCATGGATATCTCATCCTCTCCTCTCTCTCCCCCTCCCCCTAGGAAATCCAGATCCCTCATTAGGGGGGGGAGCGCATATTAAATGGAATGGCCATTGCAAGGAATATGTGCACACAATGCTCCCCAAGGCCACTACCCTAATTATTATAATTTAGGAGAGATTATTTTTAAAAGCTTTTGGTTCTATTCTCAGGGCTTTCACTGGCGCTTACTACGACAAGAAGGATCCTGGTGTTTATAAGTGCATAGTTTGCAATAAGGAACTTTTTGATTCAAAAACTAAATTTGACTCACGATGTGGCTGGCCCTCATTTTATGATGTCATTGATGACGCTAAAGTCAAAAAAATTGTAGATACGTCGCATGGAATGCAACGCATTGAAGTTGTCTGTGCACATGTGAGTAACATAAATCTTAAATTACTGATTTCCAGGAGTTTCAATCGTGCAAGTTCTAGGCAAATGTTGAAATTACAAAAATACCTGCTCAAATTGGGTATCTTATGGCGAATGGGATGGGTACCCTGTGGTGCATTATAATTAGGTTGGGTACCCTATGGTACATTATAGTTAGATTGGGTACCCTGTGGTACATTATAGTTAGATTGGGTACCCTGTGGTACATTATAGTTAGGTTGGGTACCCTGTGGTGCATTATAATTAGGTTGGGTACCCTGTGGTACATTATAGTTAGATTGGGTACCCTGTGGTACATATAATTAGATTGGGTACCCTGTCATTTTTCAGCTTCATTCAGTTGTGAAAGCAATCGAACAGTATAGCTGAACTGTATCTCTTTACCAGTGAATTGCCCCCTTTCACAGAAATTAACTTCAAACTGCTGTTATTTCATGTAATTTATTGACATATTCGTTTTAGTGTGGAGCTCATCTTGGTCATGTCTTTGATGATGGTCCTAGACCAACTGGACAACGATATTGCATCAACTCGGCTTCAATTGATTTTCAAAGTATAGGTAAATGTTATGCAAAAGCAGCTGACAATCTTCATTGCAATTTTGATAAAAGTTACTCCCTAGATAAATTGCCAAGTTTTATAAAATTTATTGTCGACTTTGTTTTTTTCAGGTGAAAAGAAAAATGAGAAGAAAAGTGAATTGTAGAAATATTTTACCATTCATATTGTTTGAATTACTGAAATATAACCCATGCTTTATTGTTTACCATTATATGCAAGAATAATATTGTCATTTAAGAATTTAGAAAATTCTTTCATTCATAATATAATTATTGTCTCATTCCATGTCTATATAGAAACTGTAATTTATCTATGTTTTATCAAATAAAATTGTTAGAGTTTAACTATTCAGATTTTGAATTAATGATTCTAATTATTAGATAGTTTTTTGATCGATCAATCAACCAATCAATTAACCAATCAATCAGCCAAACAATACATCAATCAATCTGTGAATATCATCAATCAATGAACCAATCCATTAAAGAGTCCTGCATCGATAATCAATCGAACAATCTCAATCAATCAATCAATTAATTAATTAATATCAATCAACCAGGCAATCTAGCAATCAATTTATCAAAAAATCTATTAAAGAGCAATTATAAATCAATCATGAACACCTGTGTATCAATCAATTAAGCTCAATTAGCATTGACTTAAAAGTATCAATCCACAGTGAGGCGGCGGAATTAACATCCAAAACATAGGAAACGATATATTTAGCCACCTCCTTTGATTCTATAAAGAGCCGGAAAATATGGGGTATTTTAAAAGCTATTAATTTTAATTTCCCCGGTATCCCCAGGTATTTCTTGAAACAAGAAATCAGTCGTCAAACTCATTCATCTATTCTAACGATTTTCCTCATGACACTGACAAAATTTCGATGTCCCCCGTTTGGACTTTCTTGCTATTGGTGGTAAAATCACCGCCAAAAATTATATGAAAATCTACCGCGCAGTGTCAAATGTAAAACAAACAACGCGGAGATTACGGCTCTTTCATGTGCGCGCGTGGTACATTACCCTTGTGATTCAAGGTACCGATCCAGTCAAGAGACGCGTCTTAAAAACGTTAGATATTTCGGTAAGTAGTTAGGTAAATGTAGGCAAAGCAAATTATCAATATGAAGCTAATACACTCGTATACATTGTACTAGAGTGATTTCCCGTCGACCGTTAAAAAGAGACTTCCTAGTGGATCTAGTCATAAATAGTACAGTCATACCACACCTACATGTACGTTGTTTACTACAACCATTAGACTTACTATTCCTTCGCACCGTCGATGTAAGATCACTCTTGCCTGCGCCGCCCGTGAAAAGAATTAGCTCTTACTAGCCTCATTTCAAAGAGGCTATTCATATTAAGTGTAGTAGTTTGCATTGAATTTGGGCTGTGCAGAATCCAGCTGATAAAATTATCATGACATGCGTTAGTCCAAAGGAATGGGGTGTTTAGTGGCAATTAAAAGTTCACGGACATGCGCTAAGTATCTAACTAGGGTTTTCACGTCAAAGAATAATTGGAGTTTAATCAAAGATAAGATTTCGATCAAATGAAGCTAGTCTCCATTGTGGCCGTTATCGCCAAGGAAAAACTTCCCGCGTAGCGATGACGCTGATAGAGGCTGCACTGGAGTCTACAGAGGCAACAGCATGTGAATATCAAATTCTCTAGTTTATTTGATCAGCTTAATTAATGATATTCCAATAGGAACAGACATGTAGATATATAGTGACTATATATAGAGGTAATGTCAAAACATGTTCCCTGGGGAACAAAGTTGCAACTACAGACAATCCTAGCCTCCTTCGCAGCCGGTTCTTCTTGCGGGCTTCCTGTGGTAGCACAGGGATCCCGTTAGAAGGATAGGTTGTGACGAAGACTAGAGCCTTTATAGATTACAAAAAACTGTTGCAATTGAACGTTATTACAATGCTGATACAACTTACTTGGTTCACGTAATCTCATTGGTCGAGAGACCTTGCTCCCGGAGTTCCGGCATTCTCAATGACAATCTTTACTGAATCGTTACCAGGGCACACAAAATCAAAATCCGAGGAACTCTGGGAATGAGATTGCAACTGAAATACGACTGCACAAATGAGCGCGGGTCTAGAATGTTTTCACTGTCATTGAAAACTGCTCAGTAAACACCAATACGAATTTGTGCTGTTTTTGTCTTGTTCTTAGTTGCCACAATTGGAGAACAATGCAAACACGCCACGAAAACGTATCAATCCGTACGGAACATTTGCGGAACGGAGTCTCGGATGAAGCACAAATTTGCGCAGTCGTTGACTATAAATCAAAAAAATAACCTAATTGCTTTCTTATCCTTATCTATTAAATCAAACTGGCTAAACTAGTTAAAACCGGTATATTATCCAGCAAACAGGAACCTATAGTAAAATTGTTATACTTAGATTTGCCTATATTTGTTTTAAATGTAATTAAAACTTATTTCTTTCACTTTCAAATAACAGAAACAATACACATTATATAATCTAAATACTTCTCTTCTCACAAATATCCAAAAATAAAAATAAAGTTAACACAGTATGAAGCACTTTTAAATACAAATTCAAATCACTCTAAAAACTGTACAAAGTTTCTTCATGGTGACGCAATGCATTACTGGGAAAAAAACATGGAGTCGTCAATTTCTAATTGGCGTAAACTACGAAATTTAGCTTTGCTATACAGGGCAGTTTTAGAGTGATTCGCAATAAAATGGTACAAAAGTACCATACCTATAGAGTTGAAATATTAACTAAAGATCATACAAAACGAGAATTATAACTCGTTCTACCGAATCCCCTGTTTGGTGGAAGATCCTTTCTCTTTTGGTGGAGAACCGTTTGCCTTTGAACTCGTACCACGATAAAATGCACCCATTGACACCGACTAGGTGTTCGTATCAATAAAGGATATCTTTTGCAAGACAGCTGGCCAAAATAACTGAGTTTTCTCACGTATTGGCTTCAGCATAAGTTTATCACGTCATGTACGGGTTTTTTTCAAGGAAACAACGGGTTCTTTCTCACCGAAAACTACACAAAAACAAAACAACACTGTATAAAACTAAGCCCTAACTATCACAACACAACACACCGTAAATCAAACTCCTTAGTCTTTTGTCCGTTTGATTCATGGCTGACGGTGTGACGTGATTGTGTTCTTAGACTAATATATGCTAAAATATGCTAATGTATGAACGATTTTTCATCGGTAAAAACATTCTATGATACAATACGTATGTTTTCATACATGATCTGAAGTACAGCTAGTTTAAAAACCTTGTCGCTAGAAAAGATCCACGTCCACTATGGATCATGAGAAGAGCGCAAGATGAGGTATAATTCAAAGTGATTTTAACTTCATAAAATATGCTTTCAAGTATATACAGTCCATGGCATTAACTGTGTGATGTTGTCTTCAAAACTGGATTGACTGACAGTATATCATATAACTGTTATCTTAATAATGGCTTCTTACTTCAAAGTATTCAAGATTAATATACTATACTATTGATTTTTGAATGAATTTGATCATTTTTCTCACATCTCAATGAGAGAGTCAAGGATCAAGGACTTTTAGCTGTCAAAGTTTTTAAACTAGTTGTACAATAGCAACGACTTTCTTACGCCAATCACACCTGAAGACAAATCACTTCGGGTCTTTCCATTCTATATCTCGTAAACCATTCTACTGTACATCGTCACTCGGAACAACTCTAAAAATCACACAGACCTTTCGAACGTTTGATCGTATGCAAAACTTAGTCGGAGAACATCTCATCGGGCGGTACGGGATCATGGGTAATGTTTCCCATCGAATCAGATGATTCTTGGTCGACCATTGTCGGTAATCCTGCGCCTGAATCCTACAGAAAATACTCGATATTAGTTCCATCGTTATTCTAAGTCTTATGAATAAAATGACAAATTGATTGAACTCTCGTGAAATTCCGTCCACGATACCTTTTTCGGTCTTCCTCGCCCTCTCTTTGGAGTATTAGCATCCGGAGCGGGCTGCAATGAAAGCACAGGTGGTTAGGATTGTATTTTATACTTGGAATAATATTATTTGGTGCAGAATCAAATCCAGGGTCTTTCTGTCTTCCAATGATCACCTCCAAACAAAAGACCACAGAGGGAAATGTCAATCAACTTCGTTACCATGCTCTTCTCTGTTCCACATCATCTCAGGGTTAAGGTTTGCCTCACCTTTTATAATGAGCAGTCTTACAAAGAGATTTAAATTATCCGCCTTATTTCGGCAGTCACCGAGAGATTTAAGGTTAGTTTAAGGTGTCTGACTACCCTTATTGCTATAGTTACTTACCCACTTTCGTGGTCGGCCTCTCGGGCGCGGTGAACCGGTTTTTTCTGGTTTGGGCTGCAAGAAAAAAAATTATAAATGCGAATTACGTGCAATGCTCTGCATCATTGTGAAAACGCTAAGCATAGCCAAGAGAGTTTCCCGTTGCCCCATACATAGGACGTTGTGTAAATAAATGAACATTTGTAGCTATATCTAATAAAGCATATGGTAGCTTGCAAAGCTGGCCTTCTTAGTGAAAAGCCAGCGGAAAATGGGAAGAGAAAAGAGGAAGGGAACGCCCTAAGCTTACAAAAGATTTGAAATGTAAAGTCGTGGATAGTAATCTAACCATACCACGGAAACGCAAGTATGCGAGGGAAAACCGTAAGATAATTTCACATCACTTGAATATCCTAGTTATGCAATAAAATCACAATCGAATGATGACCATTGTCGCAGCTTTTACGTCATAACCGCGCGTAAACCGTGGCATCATATTAGTTTTGCGTTTCGTAAATGACATACGTATCTTTACTTTCACGTTGTCTAACGTAACCTATTCCCCTTATATTGTAGCAGGAATTGAAAACGTAACTTTGTGATAACATACTACAGGCAAGGCAAACGAAATAATTAATTGTTACAAGAAAGGTGCAAAGATAAACGCACAGACTCAATGATTAAACACAGTATTCTCCCAACTTTGTCACTATCTCTTTAGTGGTAACACTGAAGGAGAAATGATCGCATCGCTCTTAGATCACACAAAGGTTGCCTTAGGAGAAGATAGCGGTGTTTTAAAGTTTGTAAACTAATCCAGGTTTAATTGTTTTATCTCTCTTCAATCTCTCTCCATTCACGACATCTGATAGTCGAAAAGCTTTACTTCTTTTTTCAAACCCTGAAATCCCTTATCCTGGCCACTAAGATGCGTTATCTCCTCTCGTTGATAGCCACGTTGGTGGGGTATCTGCACTGATTGTTTAACAGGCTTTCCTTGAAAAAGGTTTAAGGCTATGGACAATTAGACAATGGTCTAGGGACGACATAGAAACGCTTCCATACTCAAGACAAAAGCGACTTAGGGTATAACAAAGAAAACACAGCCAAAAGCTAGAGACGTTTATATAAACAAATCAAAACGATCCCCCGTCATCTGTTTATCATTTTAACTAGATAAAAAAAAAATGTTTTTTAAGCTTTCGGTTCTTTTGAATCGCCTCCTAATAATAGTGTCTTAATAAAGTTTGATGTTTTACTTTCGAGAAGTCGAAGTACAATCGAAAACTCAACTGGAGGTTATCAGCTAGTCGGCTAATTACGGCAGGAAATTGATCTTTTAAAAGATGGGAAAAAGAATGAGAATTTAGGAGCCAAATCTGGTCAATTACTCCCAGCTAGTGAATTTCAAAACGAACAATGATATAAAACTACCTTAGAGTATCAAAACAAAACATGTCTTTGCATTCAAACAGTGTAGCACTGTTCGTAGTGAAAGGCAACTCAAGGCAGTCATCCGCCAGCCATTCAAACCTCACTCTCCAATATAACATTTGATTCGAGTTGGTCCAAAATCCTCACAATAGAACATTGTCTTGTCCAAAATTGAAAAGAAAAAGTCAAACAGAGTCCGTTCAATTAATTACCAAAATGTGATGTTTAAATCTAATTTCCAAACAATCTCAAAACTCAACAATATAAACCTCTAGTTAATTAGAAAGAAATTCCATCCATTTAGCATTGAGAAAAAAGGAAAAAATAACAGATCCCAAAGGAGCAAGAAGAGATATCTAATTTGATTAATTTCGCCCCTTATTAAACCTGTTCATTTGATAACTTAATCTCCTAAAAGAAAGAAAGTTTGCTTGATAATAGGTCGCGCCGATTTTCACAAACAATACAAGATTCGAAACTTCCCCATTTACCCAGACAAAACAAACTATACAGCATGCTTTAAAGTAACGAGAACTAACTCTACGAACACCTGAAGTGACCAACAATACAAAACCAGATTTGAGGGGTGAATACGGCCTTGATTCACCTGCTGGTCGAGACATTTGGTTGGAAGCCATTGATTCAACGAAATTTCCGCATTGTAACTACCCTAAAAACTCGCCTCACAAACTCGAAAAACTTTAGCAGAATAAACCGGAGAATAGCTAATTGAAAAGCATACGTTTCCGAAAGTAGACAAGGACATTGTTTTTCTTCTGCCGAGTTTCGCTAGTAAAGAACAATAGTCGGAGTTTTTGTTCTGCTTTTCATAAACAATTCTTGTCCCGAAAAATGGAACGTAAAGTGGAATTACGAAAGTCAAACCGCAGTTAATACGCAGGGCAAACCTTACGTTTTACACAAAGGAATTGGCTTAATTTTCTTAGTCGCAACGTCTTTTAGCGTGTTCTTCAATCATTTCTTTAATCACAAGTCGTAAAGATACGCTAAGTTCACGTAATGATTGCCTGTCCATAAAAGTGGGCTCAGTTCCAAAAACGTAACGTATTTAACGTAACGTAACGTATTCTAGCGTTATTTTTCTAGTCACATGGACTTGAAATATATGTGGCTGCATAGCTACGCAAAAATTGTCGGTTCATACAAATCACGATTAACAATATTTGGTAGAAAAAGGTATTTGTCTATCAATGATGGTGGTTTTCTAGTTCTTTGACAACTTAAGCATAATGCTAGATAACACCCTCATACCGAGACAGCTTACATCAAGAGCGTTTTATTGGTTAGACACAGAAGGATTGATACATAAAATACGAGCTAAACTCTCTGGATTTGCGCTTCAACTAAAAGCAAATAAACAAAACCACACATTCCTTCTTCGTGACATGATTTTTGCCCACTAAGCAAATAGTGAGTGTGGCCTCCAGGCATTCTGTCATTAGCAAATCGTTTAAATATTCCCTTACTTATTGTACCACACATATTTGAGGACCATTTCTCTCTATGAAGAACATAATGTTTTATAGAATGCAACTTTATTATCGAAGGGAACGCTTTTGAATCTAGTTATGAAGCAAAAGTCTTGTTCTAGTGCCATGGATTTTTCCCTAAAACCGAAAGTTTGCGGGCCCGAAATGTTTTTGCATCTCCAAATATTTGCGTAATGTCTCATGTATTGAACAACTTGACTTCTGTACTTGCAGTAAGTTGCAGGATTGATTTACACGACGACATAGTTTACGTATTTAGGACACGCACGCAAATTTTCCGTAAAGAGATTACGTTTAAGGTTGCGAGTAACAATTAGAATAGATTTGCAACGTTAAAACTACATAGGAAAAATACAATGAGCTTGTGGATTGTGCTGGYCAGAATCGCATGATGAAAGAGCATTTTTTCTTGTTGATAACCATCTTCGCTATGTAACCTAAACCTCTACGTTTCTTTATGACCTTCAGACAATGGTGTAATGGGTGCTCAAGCTATCCGACCATTTGTTGACAACATTACCACAAAAACGCGCTGACCTCACATTTCAATGACCCTTCATTTTCCACGAAAAGTTAAAAATAAAATGATTTCCAACAAGGATTTAAAAACTACATTCTACGACAACAACAGCAACAATGACCGCAACAACATTGACTACAAGCAACAACAACAACAAGAGTTGTCTTCAGTTGTTGTAAACAAAGCCATTTTATTATAAGGTCGTTATCGAGGAGAAAGRMACAGCGATTAGTAAGCAATGAGCCAGAAAATATGTATTCACTGCAGCAAAAAGCTGACTTTTTCTTCAATGCCTTTTAACATTGTTCGYCGGGTGCATTGTTTACACGAATCATCACAAAATTATTCATCTTCCATAGCTGTCAAATAAAAGCTGAGATCATGAAACTTATTGAATTTTAAGGTCCATTTATTAACCACAGCACCACTTGGAACAATTGGACACCTAGGCTTCAAAGAAAACGACCCAGAATTATATAAGATGCTATAGATATGAATCTCAAAATAGCACATTACTGGACTTCACTTTTATTGAGAAATGCTGCTCACCACGTGCTCCATGCTATGAAAAATGAGACGAAAATTCTACCTTGATAAAGTAATTAATATAAAATTCAATGAAGTTCGGTTAATCTGCGTYTGTGTAAAGGTTGTTTGGGTTATTGGCTCTAAAGATATCCTCCAAAGCGAACACAATGATTATAAGACGAAAATTATCGTTCACAGTGCACAATTGTTTGAATAACTCGAGAGATTTCACAGTTTTGACGCATTAATCATCTSGTGAAAGCAACAAAGGTCGTAATTACAATGTACAAAAAAATTTCCAGTTCCGAATTTATCGTGTACTTTGAAAACCTTATAAAGAGTAGACCAACCCACACAGATAATGTCACGATCTACAAATGTGTATTTTCCGTGATTTTAGAGCACTTAGAAAGCTAAGCTACTAATCTTGCAACATTCTTAACAACCAAGGAATGGATGCGATTTGGAAACGTTTTTTTTTGTTTTCAAAGTTATATTGAGCGTAACACGCAGATGTATCGTAAAGTGGCTGGACAAAGACGAGCACGTGGCTTGCTTTGTCAGTGCGTCAATGTGCCGCCTCGTATTTGCATTCAGTATTAAAATTTTTCCCGCGCATTCACCACGTGTTGAACGTCACAGAGAGTGCGCACGCGTGGGCTCCATGCACGTGACCAAGGCGGGGATACTAAAAATACGATAAGAATTCAACGCGATTTGGAGCTGCAGAAATATAAAGTGTYTATCAGGTCGGGTGCCGTGCAAACCGGAAGTGCTGAGGATCCTAGATAGACACGACTTGTAGATCGAAAGGCGAGTGCCCGACCAAGAAATTGTAATTTCAATGGCTTGTTATTCAGCATGTATTTGTAAACAATGTGTCACGAGTTTCTGGGGTCATCGTTAAGTTACTGAGCCATACAAACAGTTCACTGCAGACCTTGTTAAACCCTCTTGTGAATAACTTTATAACTAAATAACTCGGTCTGGTTTCATGGCATTTTGCGTGCGCGCTCCGTCCCGTAAACAAATTACAATGCGTTTGGAAGAGTTTCGAACTAGGTACTATGCACACGCATTGATAGTGCAATAGTAATGCGAATAATATACAACCACGCTACACTACCTACAATATCCATAAAGAATTCATTACACAGCAYATTTAGGTACCTTGGGATTCTTATTTTTAGATCCCTTTGGTCTTCCTCGTTTTCTTTTAATAACGGGACCATCAGCGGGATCTGGTGCGGGTTTCTAATCAAACAACAGAAAGAGTTGTAAGCTATATGTACTATAACATCCAAAGTCTCATCCCGCGACCCACGTACCTCTTCAACAGGCTTTCTAGGTCTGCCACGCTTTCGTTTCACGGGTGCTTCATTATCCGTAGAGGACTCTTGCGTAGCTTCTTCATCGTTCTCAACACGATTGCTCATGTTCTCTGTATCTTTGATTACCATCCGTAGACTTGTGGTACAACAATCGACCTTCACAACGTCCACAACGTTTCACAATTTAACTTCCTAAATCAACGGCTGCCAGGCTTTTAAACCCACTCCTGTCCACGATGAGTAATAGATTTGGAATTGGATATTTTCGAGCTGACAGCGTGGGTGTTAAGATGACTTGAATCACTCTGGTACCACTACGATAATACGTACAGAGAAACCCAGTTACAATTTGGATGTTATTATCTACACAATGTAGACTACTCACTTAATGACTGATGTTATATGGTCGAGAATTTGATTGGCTAGAAGGGGGCTCTTTGTGACAAAGCTTGCTTACGATTTGCTCTTCATCAACTAGCACCACCCTTTTGCCTCTGAACTCGCCGCTCAATTGGCGTTTCTTAACAAACCGGAAAYGGGCCTCAATACATAMCYAACAGTAAAGCTACACTTTTTGTACTGTACTATCCCAAACAAACTAGATATGCTAGAAAACCTTGACAAAACCAMTTTAAGCATTGTAGCCTTGCATTGTAGTTGCACACAGATAAGGAAATATTACTGTTGCTTTGAAATTCCGAGGCTCAAATTGCTTTTGCGTGTTTGAAAAGGTCAAAGCGATGCAAAAATCTGTCTGACACATTCAAATACTGTTTTGTTACCGGGATAACATCAGTGCAAATAATTTTGACAGTTTTAACACTACTATTGAAAATACTGCAATTAGCAGGCAACGATAAGCCCTACCAGGTAAAGGAAAACTACCTAGAATGGTTGCAAATTGTTTTTGTTGACTATCAAACAGTGTACTAAACGTCTTTACTATTGCACGCTTTTTCGTTCCAAGAAAAACTTCTCAAAAAGTAAACAAGGGTTACAAACAAAGAAAATTCCAAATTTCAACTCGTGTTGGCAACATATCCGAGTAAGCATTTTTGCAGACAACTCGAAAATACAATCAAGTCCCTTATTTCTACAGCTGAGCTAGTTCAGGGGTCTAAACCGGAAGTACAATGTTCCATTGGTTTCCGGTTGGACGATTTAACACAAAACCGCCTCAATATTAATTCATAAATAAAATAACACTTAACGAATGCCATATTCGATTAAGAAATTCCTACGAGAACAACAAGGATTATAAGCTATAATAGAATTATTGTCTAATATTCCAAAAGGGTGTTTAGTTTGCCAAGTGGAAMATGGCCACCGTGCGTTAGTCAGCGAGACATTATTAATTTCGTTGCTTTATTTAATGGTGATTTCATGCCAAGAACTTGACCGAATTGAGGAACTTATTGTTGCTAATAACCTTTCAAAAAACCGACCAATTTAAGGGAAGTCATTTATACATGAAAAATTGAGCTTTAACATCCCGCTGAAAGAACTTCCCTTATAAGAAACTTTGTTCAACTTTCCCCGTTACTTGATAAATTGGACAAAATAGATAACGTTTGTTAACGTTATTCGACAAAATGAGCACAAGATAACAGCGTTGATGACCTCATACAATCTCCAACTAAAAGCAGAGGCGTATAAAACAATTCCCACAAACTTCCTTCTCGCTACGAAAATGAATAAATTAACCACATTTAAAAGGTTAAAAACSTTTTATTTATTTAGCTTTCATGTAGGAAGGAAAATATAATAATTTCCAAAGGGAACTATCTTATTCAGTGACGTTTTAAAACTACACACGTAAATAAAGTGGGTTGTAAAGAAATAATATAAAAACACCTTTTTATTTATAAAAGAGTAGAGTTTATTTAAAAAAAGTTCAGCAAAGATCACGAATACAGCACTGTAAGGTCACGTTACCAATGAAAGTATTCTAGTTTTTGTGCATGAAATCTGTTTCGGTGTATGTAAAACCCCTCATTTCATGTCAAAAGATACTTCTAGAAAGAGAAGATGAAARGTCTTAAAAAAAAGTTAAAAACGTCGGAAATTCGTCTTATCCAAGGTAGTCAGTGTTTTTGTACAGTTTTTAACATTGTTTAAAAACGCACTAAAACGCTACCTAACCGGATTTTTTTTTAGCGTTTTGTTAAAGTTCTTTCTCTCCAAAGGAGTTTTAGTGTTTGTGCATATTGTTCTAAAATCCCAGCAGTGAATAATTTAATATATGCGAAACCGTAAGGAACTCGCGCACCCATGTAAAAGAGGACTCCTAAATTAAACAAAAAATAAATTACTTAAACTCACCAGATCTGACTTAATTGCAACGGAAGTTTTAAGACTTATTTTTACCGACTTTGCAGGTAAGAAACCCTATTTTTAGACGACTAAAATACTGAACACATTGTTTAAACAGGAKAATTTTCACATTTATTGATTCGCATTCCGAATTTGAATCGAAAAAGAAAATAACTTACAAAGTATCAAGTAAAAATCTTCTCGGAAAAAAGGAGGTTTTTTAGCTGCCAAACATAACCGTTAAAAAAGTCAGTTGGGTATGAGAGAAGTTTATTAGATTTTTCATAATAAAATATTATTTAGAACTTTTCTGATGCGATCCTGCATACTTAACTCTTGAAAAAAAGCCAAGAATAGATGGACGTATATTAGACAAGCTTCGTTTGAAAATAGAGTATTTTTTTCAATAAGTTTGATCAGAACTTGTCTCTCTTGTTGATGATAAGATTATTCATTTAGACATGACAAAAAAGTTAGAATTTTTTACCATAAACGTAATCGTCGTTTAAATACCGCCCTCTAGATTAAATTTCAAGAGCTTAAATTTAATAAAGTTCAGAGCATTAAATTTGCATAGAAATGAAAGATTTGTAAAAAGAACTCAAGATATCAAAGAAGAGGAAACCGTTTCTCAAGAAGTCGTAGAAACAAACAAAAAGTAAAAATAATTTCTAAAAATTATCAAGCAAAATCGTAGACGATATTCTTATCATTGATATTTATGTCATTTTGTAAAATAAKAATAATAATAATAAATAATACAATTAGATGACACAGACACTTCTCCTGAAAGTAAAAAAACAGGAAACTGGAAATCTTAATTAAAAATCAAAAATAAAGATTACGTCTGAAATGAAACAAAAATCAGATTGAAAAATCCTTGTTTGTATACACGATGAGCATTTCCTTATAAAAACTGATGTTTTATTCAACACTGTCACATCATAAATACACGTACACGGAAAAACTTGTTATACCATGTGGGATATGATCATTTAGTAAAATTAGTCTGTTCATTATTCTTGCCTATGCGCAATAGACTGCAATAGACCCTTATAGAACCTAATAGTTTGAGAACGCATCATCTGGGTTTAAAAACAATCCATGATTTCAAAAAGAGCAAAAATCTATTCCTTGTCACCCAGATGAAGAAATTTAGACGGCAAATGCCTGTGGTCCTTTACACGTCACTGCGCAAAATGATAAGAGCTATGAGCGCAATGAAAATCCAAATGTTTTATCATTAAAATAATATTTTGAATAACAACTCGTGACGTGCTGGAAATCCAAGCACATTACCCTTAAGATAATACTTTAAAAGCTCGATAATAACTCGTGATCTCTTGAGAGCAAATATGGCGTCCTATCATGTCAATGTGAATCGTTGCCTTAAAAACTTTTTTTATTAGAATTCAAATATGGCTGATATACGTCATGTAATACCCTAAATTATAGCATTTGAAAGCCAATGAAAGAATCCATTGAATTACAACATTAGAAAATTACTCCGAAAACAGTTCCAATTTATTTCAAGAATTTCGATTTGAAGTTTCTTATTGTGAAGTTTGAGGTTAACTGAAAAGCGCARAAGGAATGTACCTCGATCGAAGGTATGACATCTTAAGATTTGTTAAGCTGTTAATACGTGATAATGCGACAATGACACTACCACACTAAACAGCAGGATCAGAGAGGACCACAGGGATCCCATGACGATATGTAAATCACAGGCAGCCCAGCCATTAAAGAAAGAAAAAAGTACGTGGGGACCTCTTTCGCCCTCACTTGCAGTCTACAATATTTATGTGTATAAAATGTGGCTTCGCTGTTATAGTTTTCTACCTGATCCCACTACTGTTTGTGGTTCTGTAGCATTAGCGTATATAAACCACAGCTATCGTATCTAAAAACAACACTCCTACACTGACAGCAGATAAGGGTCCTAAAAATGCAACGAACATTCCTTCTGCGTTATTCATCAAAACTGTATGAAGGGTATGTCAAATGAATTATAAGAAAAAGCTAGCTGTGGACACAACAACGTCATGCAGGGATCAAAAACGAAGAAGTTTGCTCTATTGTGAGGTAGAAAATACTGCTTTTCCCTCCGAGAGGAGCTGTATTCAGAAAAAGAGAAAAATAGTTCCTCACTTTCGGAAAGTAAATGAGAARTTTGCAGAGTCAGATGGCACCGATCCCTGGGCTGCACGAGATCAAACACACAGCGACTCAGTGACAATAACATCATTTATAAAGCGTTATAGCGCCTTTCATGTAAAAAAACAAAAACAAACGACTATCAAGCAATATTAAACGAWTCTGATTATCAGAGATCACGTCTTTGAAGAGGAAAGAAAACAAGAATGATCATTAACGAAACGTGCTGTGAACTAAGTCACGATATCACGACAAGATGCGTGATGTTTTTAACTCTGATTTATTGATGCTTTTTGGGCTTGACGACGTTTTTGGGGTTGTTTTTGAGTAGTATTTTTCTACGAATTGTGTTTGTTAGTCCGATTTTGTTTTATATTGTTGTTTTGCTTTGCTTTACGTAAAGCAAAAAACAAAATCCAACACGCAAACAAACACATAACTTGACATAAACGAAAACTTTCTCAAAACTTAACAAAACATTATTCGTTATTTATTTATTTTTTTKAAATGCCTATCTAAGATTCGCTTAATGATCTCCGAACTCTTACTTCAGAAATCACGCAAACTCTTGCGCTCAAGCCTCGATTTCCACATTTAACCACTGAAAATCTATGAGAACATAATGACAAGAAACCAAGAAATGGAGAAATTTGCATTGAATTTACCAGCTGTTAGAGTCAAGGTTTAAAAAATCGTAGGATGTCAATAACAATCATGCGAATAAAGTGTTTTAAGTAGTGCTGACTAAGCAAAGGTCCTTGAGATTGTGCAGCATAAAAGCGAACTACGCATAGACTCAAAAAACATTGAACAAAACAAGGTACGGCGATGCCATGCTATGTAC